TGCAAAACCTCTCACTATGAGCTACCATTAACAACTATCTAGATCAGCTCGTTTCAGGACATGAGCCTGTACAATCAACACAGGATAAAATACGGATTTCCATATCTACTCCACACTTCAGTCATCCAACACTGAGTAGCAAACCACCCCAACACTTGCTAGCCTAAAACACTACTTCATAACTCAGGACTCCTTGCAGACTAGAGCTCAGCTGGTCTTTTGCTCTTGGTCTCCTGAATTCAATCATGCAGTTGCACTGAACCATCCAAGGAGGCTTCAGGCACCACAGACAGGCCTCTTGCATTGTCTTTGGAGGTACTGTCTTGCTGTGCAGCCTGGAACACATTCACTGTGTAGCCCAGCCTGGCCTCAAACTAATAGCATTTTTTTTTTTTTTTTTGTTTAGTTCACAAGTTCTGGGATTACCATATGTAACTATGTATTTTTTAAATTCTTACTGTAGTTATTCCACTATTCACACTGTTAACAACAGAGCTCCACCCCCTACTTTGATTAGACCTAACAGCTTCCTCTAACATAATCCTGCCCTGCTTCCTTCCATGTCACATCAGCTGCCTGCTCCCTCAGTCCTGTCTCTACATCTTCCTTCCATCTGACACAGAAGGATTTCTCAAGCCAGTAACATTTTAATGTTGATTTTTCAAATTTAGCTTTTATGGAATAATTACATGCTTTCCCCCAATTTCCTAACTTCTCACATGAGTTTCCTCAGGATTCATGATTTCAAAAACATACCAAAAATGCCAGGAAGAAATTCCCATGTATAAACACTAGTCTTCATGTTTCCTTTGTTCAATTAAAAAAAAAAAAAAAAAGACACTTTAGAGTTTGAGTGTTAAGATTTCATGTGTACAAATGTTCTGCCTACATGTACACACGTGCACCACGTGCCTAACTGGTCCCTGAAAAGGCCAGAGAGGGGTGTTCAGTCCTCGAGAACTGGAGCTATGAAGGACTGTGAGCCGTCATTTGGGTGCTAACAACCAAAACTGGGTCCTCTGGAAGAGCAGCCAGTGCTCTTCATTACTCGGCTATCTCTCCAGCCACTAGGATAATTTATAAATATATAAAAAGTGAACAATATTCTTTTATTTTTGTTTTTTTTAATTTATTTTTTTGTATTAATTATAGTTTGTTTACTTTGTATCCCAGCTGTAGTCCCCTCATTACCTCCCAATGCCATCCTCCCTCCCTCATTTCCTCCCAAGCCCCTCTCCAAGCCCACTGATAGGAGAGGTCCTCCTCCCTTTCCATCTGACCCTAGCTTATCAGGTCTCATCAGAATTGGCTGCATTGTCCTCCTCTGTGGCCTGGCAAGGCTGCTCCCCCCTCAGGCGGAAGTGGTCAAAGAGCCAGCCACTAAGTTCATGTCAGAGACAGTCCCTGTTCCCATTACTAGGGAACCACTTGGATACTGAACTGCCATGGGCTACATCTGAGCAGGGGTTCTAGGTAATATCCATGAATGGTCCTTGGTTGGAGTATCAGTCTCAGAAAAGACCCCTGTGCCCAGATATTTTGGTACTGTTGCTCTCCTTGTGGAGCTCCTGTCCTCTCCAGATCTTATTAGCTCCCCCTTCTTTCATAAGATTTCCTGCACTTCGCCCAAAGTTTGGTTATGAATCTCAGCATCTGCTTTAATACACTGCTGGGTAGAGTCTTTCAGAGGCCCCCTGTGGTAGGCTCCTGTCCTGTTCCCTCTTTTGTCCTTCTTCCAATGTCCATCCTGTTTGTCTTTCGATGTGAGGATTGATCATCTTACCCAGGGTCCTCCTCCTTGTTTGGTTTCTTTAGGTATACAGATTTGTGCAGGTTTATGCTATATTATATGTCTAGTATCCACTTATAAGTAAGTATATACCATGTGTGTCTTTCTGCTTCTGGGATACTTCACTCAGGATGCTCTTTTCTAGATTCCACCATTTGCCTGCAAATTTCATGATTTCCTTGTTTTTGATTGCTGAGTAGTATTCCATTGTGTAAATGTACACAATTTCTGTACCCATTCCTCCGTCGAGGGACATCTGGGTTGTTTCCAGGTTCTAGCTATTATGAATAAAGCTGCTATGATCATGAGCAATATTCTTAAACACAGGTTAAGTGCTAGTTGCAGAGTTTACTGGCATGCAGTGGTTCAGCGAGAAGATGTTCTCTACAGAAGATTCCACATTATTTTATATTGTCATCCTCCGTTTCTAGAAGACCTTACTGAAAGGAAGACACTAGGCACAGAGGTAAAGGGCTGGCAGAAGATTCAGACTGAAGGAAGACACAGAAGGCCTAGAAATTCACTATTCCTCAGAACACTTTCGATACATGTTAGCACAAAGGCAGTATTCCCACATAGTCCACAAAGTGAGCCTTTGCATTTGCTATGCAACAGAGGAACTCAGCACCACTTTCCTCTGAGCAGAGGCAAGTGCGCACAACTTTAAATGTTTTCATAGAAAGGCAAAGTTGGTACCAACTAGGTCTTCCTTTCCATCTGAATTAAGAGATCCAGCTAACAGCTTGGAAGTTTGGGTGCTTTTGTTAGTACACAAGCAGGAAAATGACTGACCCCACAAAACGACTTCGTAAATGCTATCCAACTGAGGAGACCACATATTCACATGACAATACTAATCAATTCTATCTCATCCTCAATCATCCTGCTTTTCAGGTATAAAAACTGAGACTAGCTGCTGTCAAGCAACTCTCCACTCACACACCTGTGCTACTACTCTTTACCATCAGAGTAGTTACCTACACTCTGTAACCAGAGTCACAGACTTACCATATTCTCTTAGAACTATGTACCTGTTCCTGAGTTATATAACAGATTTGCAAAATAGAAGGTATCCTAATTACGTTCAACAAGTATTTGTTAAGCAAATGATTTTCTCACCATCCTACATAGCTGATGTTTAATCCTACCTCCTCATTAGCATTTCTACTCATTAACAAGTTTCGACTAAGTATTAAACATCAACTATGTAGGGGCTAGAGAGATGGCTCAGCTGGTAAGATACAGGAGAGAACCTGAGTTTGATCCCCAAAACCTAAGTAAAAAAGACAGGACATGGTCTTATAATTCCTGAGCGGAAGGTGGAGACAGGCAGTTCCCTGGAGCTAAACTCATAAGGTAAGTTCTAAGCAGGTGAGAGACCTGTATTTTTAAAGAATTGGATGGAACCTGAGTAACTACATTTGAGTGACACCTCAGGTTTTCCTCTGCTTTCTACATGTACATTGGCACACAGGTGCATATATACACACATGCACAAAATCTACTATGTGGCAAGGCCACTGGAAGTTAGCTAGGAAACAAAACAAAGATAACTATCAACAGACTTCTTCACCTAGAATATATCAACAGGACACACCTGAATTTGGGGAAGAAATGCAAAATGCTGTTGTCATATGAATGTCAAATTTAGTTTAAGCATCCAAAACAGAGTGCAGGAAAAGTCATTCCTAAACACAGAAATGATGGCTGAGGAAACTGAATGTAGCCAGTCCTACTTCTAGAGACCATGAGTGCTGACAATGGAACCATCAGCTATTCAATACTCAACCTCAAAGATTTAAAGTCAGGATCACAAGTACTAAGTCCAGTGAATTATTCTTTCAAAGAAAAGGAAGGAAAAAAGTGAAAGAACAAACAGCTCAGAGAGATTTAAGATATAATAACTAAATGTAATATATGATCCTTGTTTGGGTCCTAAGTTAAATAAACTGATGGTGAAACAGATTAGCAAACAGGAAATAGGATTACTGACTATACCAGATATGAGAAGATATTTAGAAACACTGTCAATACTCTTCAGGTGTGGTATTAAGACTGTAATCGTTTTCAAAGTGTTTTTGTGCTTTAGAAATACCCCACTACAATATTTACAAACACAAGGATATTCGTGAGAGTCAGGTATAACTCATGGTAGACCACTTAACAAGCATGTACAAGGTCCTGGGTTTGATTCCTAGTACCTCAAAATATAAGAGGAAATGGGGGGGGGGGGAGCAGTCCTAGATTCTTCAATTTAAAAAGATATCCTTAGTTGGCATGGCAGCTCATATTTTTAATCCCAGCACTTGAGAGGCAAAAACAGTCAGATAAAGAGTTTGAAGCCTGCCTGGTGCACATAACAAATTCCAGGTGAGCTATGGCTACATTAGAGCCTGTCTTCCAAAAAAGGGGTATCCTTAGTATGTTCCACAATAATTGAAAAGGAGATGAAGGTGGGAATGGAGTGAAAGGGGGTAAGAGAAAACAGAGTGACTGCAGAGTAGTGGGCACAAGGGTGGCAGTAAAGTTTTTATTTTTATTTTGCATGTTTTTGAACTGTTCACATTGTTTTAAAAAAATCCTATTTATAGACAGTATAGGTCTCCCAAATGTTTAACTGCTCACGTGCTTGTGGGGATGGCACTCAGACTCTTTACTTACAAGCATCTCTCCCTGAAATGTGCCTCTCCATCACACCTATCTTCACTCTTTGGAAGAAAACCCCATGTCCTCCTAGGACATCTACACACCACTGTCTCACCCAGTTTTATGCTATGACTCTCCCAGCATCACCTACAATACACATTTTGAGAGGGAGACCCCAGATGTATCGTCATGACCTCCAGAGCTGAGCACCACAGTGTGAAGCAGACAGAAGTGTGGTCGCAGGGACAGGAGAGTCAGACCCTCTGTGGTTCTGTATCAGCACTTAGGAAATACCAATGGCCTTCACTAAAGAGACCCTGACAACTATTTTCTAAAAGGAAAATGCAAAACATACTTAAATCTCACAACAACACACAGGACCAGGTCTGCACAGTAGAGGCTGTGAATCTCACTTCAGAAAGAGCTCCTTATGACCAAGCAAAACATCTCTTTAATAACTTGTTCCCGCCTCTACATAAGCCAAGTTCTCTGCCCTGAGATGCACACTGTTCTGAAGATTCATCTTCTGTACTGAAAACAGGCACAGGCTTGAAACTGAAATTACCTTGTATCTCATCTTGGGACAGGAGTGGATATAGAAACCCATATAATAATAGCTGAGCTGTGATGTTTTCTCATGCAGTTGTCGAGTAAAAGCAATTTCTCTGGAAAAAAAAACAAAACAAAACAGTACAATTAATTCTGGTTTCAATTTTCAAATAAAATCTAATGGAAAGCATCAAAACACCCAACTCTTTAAAAATAAAAATAAATGATTTTTATAACACAAGATGATTATTACTACAGCGATACCCCCAATAACCTCTAAATTATTTTGAACAAATACATCTAAGTTCAGATTTTATACTTTATTGGGCAAAAGAACTGACCTACAACCAACAGAACATGAGAATAAAGATATCTATAATATTATTTACTGTGCCCTAGAATGTTCAAAGCATCTGGGCTGTTTTAACAGCAGAACAAAATATTTAAAGATTAACAGCCATCACATTTCAGGAAAAATTATGTATGCATTTGCACAGAACTGTTCTGTCTGTATATGATCCATAGCTCTTGTACTGCTACGAGCAGTTAATGTGTTTCCTAGAATGAGAGGGCGGTAACACACCCTCTCTCCACACCCTCTCCATTTGTTAGCAGAGGGCTAATGAAACAAAAATGCTGAATCTCCACTGCATGGCTCATGTGTGAAGTACTTGTCATCTCTACTAAGATAAATCTTGGCACAACATTTCCCCTACTTGTCCTGAAGAATAAGCAAAATGTATAGGAGAGTTTCAAAAAAAATTTAAATTTCTAAAGCATGAAGCATACTGGTTTTGTCTTTTGAAAGTTTTCTTCCTTGTTCTTTTTAATAGCAGCAAGGAGTATAAACACATCCAAGAGCTTTTGTTTTATTTTGTAAGAGAAGGTTTCAATATGTAATGTAGTCTATACCATAACTTGCTATGTAGGCCCAAGCTGGCCTCAAACTCCCAATCCTCCAATCTCAGCCTCCTGAGTAACGAGATTACAGGCATATTCCACCCTGTCCAGTTAAGAAATTCCGTGTTTAATGGAATACTCTGTTCATTTTCAAGAACAAACTTAAATCTTTAAAAGGTTATCAAAAATATTTTAAATGTTTCTTTAACAGAATAAACATTACTATTCCTAGAACTAATCCATTTTCAAGACTCAAACTGAGGAAAGAATATATGTATCCAAGCAAACCTGACCCTCATACCCGTCCACACTCTTGACCACACCCTGGCTAGTCAAGATGACACTTGCTTTCTTGGTCCTGCCTATTTTAGATCACTGCACGCCTAATTCACAACCCATCCTCATCTATCCAGTAAGTCACTGGGGTCTATCTCCAAAATACAGCCTGAATTTGACCACCCTCACTACCTCTACCTAAGATATTCTAGCCTTTAAATTATTTAATATAAAGCACAGAGATCAGTTACAAACCTTGTGTAATTGTAAATTTGTTATTGATTTATTAATATAAAAAGAAAAGTCAGGGAGGAAATGACAAGGTGGGCACTAAGACATGGGCAAAAAATGATTACCAACCCAAATTGTAAAATTCAAACTGTTAGGTTAGAGAAAAGCATGAAGACTTCTACTTGGATAATTAAGGAAAATAATACACATTCAAAAACTAAGATAACGTGGCAGCATACCTCACAATAGTGTAAACAAGTGACTATAAGCTTTTAAGCCTGGCACTTAGGAGGCAGAGGCAGAAGGATCTCTGTGAGTTTGAGGCCAGCCTGCTCTATCAATAAAGTTCTAGGACAGCAGTTACCTAGGGAAACCCTGTCTTGAAAAGCCAAAAACCAAACCAAATCAAACAAACAAAATGAATGTGACTATAAGACACAAAGATTGAGAAACGAAAAAGAGAGAGAGAGAGATTCAAGCTACCTGAAAGGCAAAAGCAAAACAGTTTCCAAACATCCTTCTTTTAGTTATATTGCACACATAAAGAAAAGCAAAAAAAAAAAAAAAAGAACAGAAACTATTACTCTGAAAAAGACATCCCAGCCACAACCTTCTCTCCAAAGACATTTGTACGCTGTAACATCTTTTTGCAGCTATGGCCCCAAATAGAAATATCATTTTCTAACACGGGCCACAGATACCAGCAGACGATCAGGAACGTTCCACTGCTGTTTGTATGCATCTCACGATGTTCTGCAGTCACGGGCAGACCAAATATGTAAGTGGTCTCATAAGACTGCATAATGACACAACCTCCTTAGTCTGTGGGTGTACACTCTCCATGTTCAGAAAGCCATGTGCCTAATAAAGTGATTGTCAAATGTGGCCCTTTCCCTAAACAATGTATACTTTCTTACAGGAGATGCACATTCCTTTAATTCATTCATACCACACTAGTTTTGTATCTTGATTCATACTGATAATACATATATCGTAGTGATAACAATATAAATAATGTTACATTTAAGAACTAAAAATGATTCTGACAGGGGAGCTTAGAAAATACATTAAACAACAAACTCTCCAGATGTGGTTTGTTTTGAAAAATATATTTACTATTATTGTGTGTGTATGATGAAGGTAGAGAGAATGAATATGGCCTTTTTAGAGTTAGCTTTATTCTAGCACCTTTATATGAGTCCTGGAGATGAACCTCAGAACAACAGCCTTACCCAAAAGACACTTTACCTGCTAAGCCATCTCACAGGAGTCCCCAATGATTTCTTATACTCTAGAGTACATAGAAACATTAAAAGCTAGAGAATTACCATCAAACAATAGCTCATTTCTAAAGCTGTTACCTTTTTGAGAAAGGTTTATTTTATTCTCTCCTCCACAATTAATCTCATTCCCCCACCCTGTATGTATGTTTGTGTGTGTGTGTGTGCGCCCTTAGAGTTGGAGTTATATGTGGCTGTCAGCAGCTAGATGTGGGTGCTGACCAACTGAATTCCTGTCCTCTGAAAGAGCAGGAAGTGCTTTTAAATTCTGAGCCATCTCTCCAGCCCCCTAAAACTGTTACTTTTAAATATTAATATACAAGTTATGGGCCTACAATAGCAGGAAATTATATCATCAAAAAGGGATCCTGCTATTATATGATGATATAAACAAATTATCTGAACCTCCATTATCTACACCTAGAACTGTACAAAGAAGTCTTACCTTAATGCTGAATACACACCCAAAGATAGAAATGAATAATCAGGATCATAGTACAGATACACAGAAGACACACAGTATGGGAGAATGTCTATCACTCCCACAGCAATAATCTTCCCATCGAGCCAGTACTGCTGGTGAAAGGAGCCATAACCACACTCTGGCCCATTAGGAGGGTGCTCTGCCTAGGAAAAACAGACACAGAAACGTCAACAGGGAGACATTTTCTTAACATTAAAGAGATCTCTTAATCTAAGTAAGTTTTTATTTTGTTCAGGTAATTAAGTCCTAAATTTGCTTTGTTGTGACCATCTTCCAGTTAAAAAGTGTTTTACCATGAAAAACTCGATCTCTAAAAATAAAGGGAAGAATGTGAAAGAAAAAGGAAGAGTAACAGAAGAAAAAAATGAAAAAGTGGAAAAAAGGAGAGAAAAGCAATTAATGTGATCTACCTCATCTACAGGACCACTAAAGGAAACAATGTGAAAACATTAATCAGTGCAGGAAATACATGACACATTACAAGAGCTGACCGAAAGCTTCTAACAAGTTACAGGAAGAGACTTCTCAAGCTGTTTAAAAACAAAAAAACAATAGTTAACAGCACATTCACAGTAAGAAACTAAATGTTTCCTTCTCCTTCCCCACTTAAGATTATGAACACAGCCAACTCCTATTAGCATTATTTGAAATCTAGCTAATATAATAAGACAGAGGAAGGGAATAAAAGGAGCTGGGGGCGTGGAACAGTGGTAGGTGCTTGCTTAGCATGTACAAGTTCTGAGGGGAGAGACAGGGTGAGGAAGGGAGCAAAGAAAAAAGAAAAAAGGAAAGAAGAGGGAGAGAGAGAAGGGCAAGAAGAGAAGGAGAGAGGGAAGAAAGAGAAAGAGAGGGCAAGAGATTAATTCAGAATGAAGAAGAGAAAAATCAACTTTAACATATGACATGACTGTAAAAATCCCAAAGAATGAAGAAAAAACTGTAATATATAATTATAACAAAGCCTAGAATGAAAGGATAAAATGTGAAATTCAATTCTTTTATAACAACAGGGCAATAGAAAGTTATACACGGAAGGTGGGAAGGTAAAATGGTTATAGGTACTTCAGGAACTTCTCACAAAACCAAACATACTCTGACATTAAAAAACAGCAATCACTTTTTCTGTATTTATCCATTTGGTTAAAAAACTTATCTAAAAACTTAAAACCTCACAAGTTGTTTATGACATTTATTCCTAACTGGCCAAAACCAGAGTAACCCAGACATCCTTCAGTACATAAATAGGTAAATGCTGGCTCTTCCCTATAATGTATTATTAACAAAAGAAACAAACACATATACACATACACGAACACAAGCATGCACATGCATGTATGCACATGTATGCACACACACATGTGCATGAGACAGAGAGAGAGCTTCAATGCATACTGCTAAGTAAAAAATGTCAGTCTGAAAGTCTGCATCCTCTATAGTTACAATTACATTGTGTAAAAAGCAAAAGTATGCAGATTGTTTACTCCACATTATCAGGAGTTTGAGAAGTCTAGGCGAGGGATTAAGAGATGAAACATAGGCCATTTAGAATATGGATCTGTTCTATATAACACCATAACAGCAAGAAATCATACCATGCATCTTTATCAAAACCCATCACTTTAAAGGAGAGTACATCTTAATTATGCAAAATTTTGCAAATCATTTAGAAGGTCTTATGAAGGCATACAGACTTTAACAATAAATATAACTGTATGAAATATAAATGTATGAAAGTCTTACTGAAAGAGTTGACAGAGGAAGAGAGGTGAAACAAGCAAGTCTGGAAATATGTGTCTGTACAGATGAAAACAAAAGGAAGTCCATGTAAATACTGATAAACTACTTCCTGTGGGGGTACAGGTTAACAATTCTGACACTGCTATATGTTTAACAAACAATTAAGCAAACAGCATATGGTAGGGTTCTCACTGCTGTGGCTAGAGTTATCCAAGTGATGATGAATTATGGTTGAAAATGTGAGAACTCATGCTTGGCTTGCTGTAAACACAGATGGTTACACGCAGAAATGTGCACACTATAAGTATGTGCATGCTCAAGAGTTACTATACACACACGTTTCTTTTTCTGTCAGCTGAGAGGGCCTAAAAGAAACACCCTAGGAGAAATGAGTACACCCTACTGCCAAGATCTTGGTACATTTTCTGCAAGCAAAGGAACCAATACTAACAGGAGAAGTGACTGACTTTAGGGGTGGCAGGAAATACACAAAATGATCTTTCTGGGTCTCAGTGTCAGGGAAGTAGGACTCAAACAACTGATCCACACTCAAAGGAGCACAGGAGTTAACTGAAAGAGCTAATTCATTACTGAACTATTTTAAGCAACAAAGTAAAAGTGATCTATAACCCAAATATAAAATCAGTGTACCTACCCTACTTTATATCACTGAAAAATAATAAAAGAACAGATAGAAATCTCCCGTGCAGAAAAATATCAAATTTTACATAGATGCTCTGCCCTGAAGCCAAGGGAACATAAGCTATGCATAAGGCAGGCCCAGTGTTATTTTCTTTCTTCTGTTTGTTTGCTTCTTGTAATTCAATTGCGTGATTCTCTAGTGTGAGTTCTATAGGTGACATGTCACAACATGAAAAGGTTGGACATGCCTGACTCTCCTCTGCCACCATCATTTCAACCATGTTAGAAAGAGCTAAGTCTGAGAATAGCCCGCTTTTTCCAGAAAGCTCAGGAGCCCTTGCTAGAGAAGTACCCCCATGTCACCAAAGCTTACTGACTTGAGAATTTTCTGACGTGTGGTTATCACGTCAGAAATCTCTTTAGTTAATGCCTTTTGTCAACATTGCTCAACTCTCACAAACACACTGGGAGAAAAAATTATAGATTATACAGGAAAGCACACTATTTTGGAAAAAAGAAAGGAAAAGCCGGTTTGCCCTAAAGCCAAAGACATCATGTAAGTTGACAGGTCTCAAACTTTGTGGCTTTAAAACCCCTTCATACTTAGAAAAGTAGAGAGAACTCCCAAGAGTGCATATCTAATGGAATACATCTACAGATATTTACCAATCTACCAAAACAAAAGTGAAATTTAAAAAACAAAAATCCAGTAATTTAAATGTATTTCATTCATTCTGTGTCAGAAAAAACAATCAAACCTTGAGGTTTCCAAAATATAAAAAACAATATATAGCTGGGCAGTGGTGGCCCACGCCTTTAATCCCAGCACTTGGGAGGCAGAGGCAGGTGGTTCTCTGTGAGTTTCAGCACAGCCAAGGCTATACAGAGAAACCCCGTCTTGAAAAACCAAACAAACAAAAGCCCCCAAACATGACCAAAGTTACATGGTTCTGACTGTTTCCAAATCTGTATCAGAAGATCACTTGTGTCTCTCATGTCTGCCTCTGCATTTAATCAGTTGCCATCAGGAAGCCTCTGGAAAAGACTGTATTCTCATGGGCGAGTGAGTCAGGAAAACTAATGGCATCACAGCATTATGAGAACAACACCGATCTTGAGGATCCTCTGATATATGCAGCGGTGCATGAACCGCACTTCTGTATCTTTAAAATATGAGGAGCCTATAAGGTATAAGCTTAAAAGACAAAAACAAAAAAACAGGATTCATACTAAGGACTGCCCTCTGTTTCAATTTTGAGAAACAAATTGTCAGATACAAATAAAAGGAGACCAATGAGCACATTTAGGCCAGCTTTTGCTCAGTCTGAATGGTACATTCCTAAAGCCTGTGTTTACAGAATTACATAGTTTAGAGCATTTAAAAGCAAAGTCATGTAAACTACAGCACCTACCTTTAATTTCCTTATGAGTCAGTCAGTGATGGGATTAGCAATACTTAATTTATTTTCCAAGTCTGCAGTGTGCAGTTTAGGATATGTAAAGGAATTAATCAGAAATTTTTCACACGTGCCTCCATTTCAAGGATTTAGCTGATAACAGGAAAAAATAATAAAGCTCCCTTCCGAGATACAAAAGAAAATTCACCTTGAATTCAAGGGAAAGATGGCCGAGCTTTGGTGATTAATGAGTTATGCAGTACGTTTCCGTTTCTAAAGCAGCATGTAGAAATGACATGAATATTAATAGGCCAATTCTCACTTTCAGCCAAACTGCTCCCCAAATGGGTGCTTACTTATCCTAACAAAATACACCTGCCTCCTCACCTACCCGCCTTCCAGTGCCTCAGAGAGGCCCCACACATGCACGCTCAGAGTAACTAGCAAAGAGGAAGTCATTTGAGAGAATTTTCCAAGGAGAATAAAGATGGGAGGGAAAAATTTCAGGACAGAACCTGAGTTTTGTCAAGTTCCATCCAATATGTGAGAATTTCTCTTTCTGAAAGGTGAACGGTATTCTGTTGTGCCAGGGTAACACGTTACTGGTCATTCATGTGTCAAGGCACACCTGGGTTGGATCTACCTTTTAGCTGCTGTGAACATGCTGCTACAATCACTCCTACACTGTTCACTTCCCCTCTTTGCTGTATAACTTCTACATCACAGTGAATTCTCTAGGTATTTTTAGTTTTGGTTTGTTGTTGTTGTTTAAAATAGCCTCTCACTATGTAGTCCTGGCTGTTCTGTAACTTACTAAAAGGCTGGCCTCAAACTCCCAGAGATCTACCTGCCCTTGTGCCCAGAGGCTGAGACTAAAAAATGTATAGTACCACACCAAGCTCTATTTAGTTTTAAAAGGAACTATTATACCTTCCTCTACTGTAACTACACCATTTTATATTCCAGGCAATAATCCACAAAGGCTGCAATTTCTCTACTTCCACACCAACACTATTTCTGTTTTTCTTAAAAGTTAACCTGATGGGTACCAAGTGGTACTTCATGGTTTTGAACTGCAATTCCCTAATGGTTACTGGTGTTAAACAACTGACATTTTATGTATTATATTTTGTTTCAGCTTAAACAATCTCTAAAACTTTTCAGTAATTTTAAAATGTAATGTAGATCAAGAAATATAGGGGCTGGAGAGGTGGCTCAGAGGTTAAGAGCACTGTCTGCTCTTCCAGAGGTCCTGAGTTCAATTCCCAGCAACCACATGGTGGCTCACAACCATCTATAATGAGATCTGGTGCCCTCTTCTGGTATATAGGCATACATGGAGGCAGAACATTGTATATATAATAAAT